TTCTTCTTCTTCTTCTTCTTCTTCTTCTTCTTCTTCTTCTTCTTCTTTTCCTTGTCCTCCTCCTTCTTCACAAAAGGAACTGAAAGTGTAAAAAAATAATCCTGCTAGGTTGCAGGCATTCTGCAGAGTGCTGCTAGGGTTCACAATTACATGCCTGTTTCTATTAAGCAGCTTCATCGTTCTCTGTGTGGGTGGTCTGCCTCTCAATAGGCAGGACCTGTCAGGGTCACGTGATGGATCCGAAAACTTTACCCCTTTACAATAAACTCTAGGAAAGCAAAGTAAACTAAAGTAATGTGCTATCAGCACAGCCCTCCTGGGTAAACAGGAGGCACAGCTTCCCTCCCTTGCCTTCCTGGGTTCAGCCCAGTCTAAGCTCTTCTAGTCCAGGAACCCACAGTGCCTGCACCCTCTCAAGTCTGCAGAGACAAAAAGGAATGTGGGACTGAAGTTCCCTCTTCCTCTTTCCTTTTCCCACCTTCTGTTCCCTTCCCCCATCACAAAAAAAAATTTTTCATAACATTTAGCCCCCTTTTCGGAAAAATATGGGGTCTGGGAGGAGCAGGGATGCTCTTTTCTTTACAAGAACATCCATCACCTGGATTTTTGTATGAGATAAATGAATAGATGGCAGGCAGGCAGGTCAATAGAGTATCAAAAAGAGGGACAGGCATCTAGAGGAGGCAGAGGAAAGATGAACAGCTTAAGTGTTCAGTATTGCAAGATTTATACTCATCAGAAGATACGATCGTAGATTTAAAACTGGAAGGGGTTTTAGAGGCCACTTAGTCTGACCACTACATTTTATGGATGAGGCAACTGAGGCCCAGAGAGGTTAAATTACTTGCTCAAAGTCACACAGCCAGCAAATGTCAAGACTTGGAACTCCAGTTTTCTTTCTTCAATTCCAGCACACTTTCCATTGTACCATGCTAGTTTTCATGTTGACCCCTGTCATTTCTGCTAGGGCTTACTAGGAAGTTGCTTGCTTCAGGAATGCTCACAGTGATGTTCCTTGGAAACTAGGATTATTAGCCCCTGTGAGAAACAACTAAATGAGACTTGTATATTTTTGCCTAATATTACTTTCATACTTTGTGATAGGTCACACAAATAATCCTTCCAACAGTACCATTTGTAAGTCAGTCACATTTTAATGGTGGTTAAATGAATAGCTAGTGGTTATTCTCTAAAAACAAGCAAGAGTTTCCTTCAACTCTATCATCTTATAGAATTTAATGATGAGGAAGTGACCCAGCATAATCTGTTTAACATTTTAATAAAGTGTAATGAGGGAGGAAGTACTATAGAGTATGCTTGGAGTTGCCCTATTGGGATGTCTTTTCTGCTTTATGTTTTTATGTTTTCTCTACTGACTGAGTGACTGAACATTGTTTTCTGGATGGACATGTCTAGACTTGAAGACAACCTTATGAATTCAAGAAATCCAGAGGCCTTGGACTGGTGGCAGAGAAAGCTTCTGCCAAGTAGAGGACAGCAACCAGCAAGACTATTGACCCAAGTTTGGCCCTTTTACCAGCAGACGTCTTCCAGGAGTTGTTTGGACAGTGCGGAGCCAAAGTGAAATGCAGAATGCCTAATTAGTAATTCTGAATACTGCTTTATGTTCTCTTGGGGTTTAGGTATTAATTACTCAACAGATTGTGACACACTTCTAAAGTTATTGAATCTTGTCTTAAGTCAATTTGTGATCTTTTTGCTCTATTATATTTAGTATTTCTTTTGTGTATAGGCACACATTACCTGTCCCACACCTGATTCATACTGAATTCCTTTTCATTTTTTTCCCTTCTGGGGAAACTGTAAATATTAGCCATAACTTAACTTATAAACAAATTTGTCATGGGATACTTAGGTAGGAGTTTAATGAGCCAAAGTATAAGATCTTGGAGCCTAGTCTCTCTACCACCTCCCCCCACTTTTAGAGGCCAGGATCCTCAGGACTGAACCCAGTCCAAACTGCATACATGGGCACAGAGCAGAGAGTGATGCCAAATCCTAGTTACTGTGGGCCAAGCAGCAGTACTGAGGCTCAGCTACCCAAAATCATTTTGGATTATTTTCTTTTGTTTTATTAGTGAGGCTTCACAAACAGTGAGGTGTGCTTTAAAAAAATTACATTGTTATTTAAGCATAAATTATGGGTACATTAAGTAAAGTTTTAGTGATAATATCAAGTTAAATAATCTTTCAATAGAGTCTAACGTTTTCACTGGGTTCTAGGCACATCAAAAATATGGACTGAAAAGCTAGAGTTTATATTGTCCCCACTATCATATACTATTATTTTTATTTAGAGTCATCTGAGTTAACAGAGTATTAATCTTAGTGAATTATTAAATAACCAAACTTTATAATGTCACATAGCCATATAAGTTATTCTAGTCCAGGAAAAATTTCATATCAGTTGCTTTTCAGTAAGATTAAATATATCTCAATGAATATCTCGATGAATGAGTGAATGTTTCAATGGGTATGAGGTCAGATTGGTCTTAACAATTGTGGAAAACGTGAATGTTTTCTTTCAATAAATATTTTTTATTCTTCTGTATTCCAGGTCACATCAAAGAATCTGCTTCATGCTCTGGTGTAAACAGGGGGAAAAGCAGCATAAACAAAGGAAGTATATCTCAGAGTGAGGTGGCTCAGGATACAAAGAAAAGGAAGAATAAGCAATAAGAAAAACAGCTCTAGCTAATGAAATTATTTGAGAGAATTATGTTGTTTTTAATGGGAAAATTTGCCCAGAACCTTTGGAATGTATCTCTTGCTAAGTAAAGTGAGGAGCTGGCAGCCATTCAGTGAATGAGAGTGCTATTTATTTGCATCAAGTAGATGGACCCAAATGTACCCTATTTTTGGCCTCAGGATTGTTTTTTCCTCTGCTTCCTCTTTATTTTTGACAATGTCAAGTAAAGTCAAGTCAACAAGTATTTATTAAGCACTTGCTATGTGCCAAACAGTGTGCTAAGTGTTGGGGATAGAAGAAAACAGAAACAGTCCTGATCCTCAAATAGTTCATTCTATTGAGGGTGTCTCCATGCAAATAATTATATACATGCAGGATTTATACAGGCTAAACTAGAGGAATCTGTGGCTCAGCTGGGAGTCAGAAAGACCAAAGTTCAAATGTGACCTCTGACATTTAATAGCTGTGTGACCCTGGGCAAGTCACTTAATCCCTGCCTGCATGAAAGAGAAGAAAATGTCGAACTACTCCAGCATCTTTGCCAAGAAAGCCCTATGGACAATTGGTCCACAGGGTGATGAAAAGTTTCACATGACTGAACAACAACAATCTTACAGAGAAGGCACTGGTATTAAGATGGACTGAGAAAGGCTTCCTGTAGAAGATGAGATTTTAGTTGAGACTTGAAGGAAGCCAGGGATGCCAGGATGCAGAGGTGAACGGGTGTAGGATGGGGAAGAACATTCCATGTATGGGTGATGGCCAGTGAAAGTGCAAAAATCTGGGTGATGGAGTGTCTTGTTCGAGGAACAGCAAGAGGCCAGTGTCACTGAATTTTAGAAAACGTGAAGGGGAGTCAAGTAAAGGAGTACTGGAAAGATACAAAGAGGACAGTTTATGAAGGGTTTTAAAAGACAGAGGATTTTATATTTGAATAGGTGGGAAGAGGGGTGTGTGTATGTGAAAGAGAGAGAGAGACAGAGATGGAGACAGAGACAGAGAGCATGAGAGAGCAGGAGAGAGATTTAGATCTACCCTTTAGGAAGATCACTTTGGCAGCAAAGTGAAGGATGGACTGGAGCGAGATGGACTTGAGGCAGGGATAACAGGTTCCTGCAGTAGTCCAGGCTTGGGGTGATGTGTGTTAGGGTGGGCCTAACATTAATACCCTATTGGTTCAGGTTCCATTTTGGGATGAAAAGAGGTGTTTGTAAGCCAATGAACAATTAGCAAAAGGTTTAGTTTGCCCTAACACAATAAAGAGATAAGGATGCAAGTGACATTTAGCTTTTATAGATGTGGCAAGGTCTGGAGATTCAAGTGATATTCAGATGTTGACCAAGTTAAAAGAGCCCCCTTTATCCCCTGGGTGACCAGACACAAGTACCAAGAGAAGCAGAGGCCAATCAGGTCCTGGGGAAAGAATGTTTTTTTTTTTTTTTTTTTAAGGGAAATTAATCCCTGTGGAAAGGAACAAGGGTGACCCTGATCCTATCACACACCAACTTCGTGGTGGCAAGTTCCAAAGGATTTTCTAGAATAGTAGTGTCAAACTCAGAAAGAGACTGTACATAAGGATCCCTGCCCACAATGTTGACTTAGAAAACCACATGTTAACATTATCTGTGTTTTATTGCATTTTTTATTTATTCTGTTAAATATTTCCTAGTTACATTTTAATCTGGTTTGCTTGGGAATGTTGTGGGTGGGGTTGGGTGTTTGACATCTTTGTTTTTGAGGACCTTCCACCATTTAAATGCTTTCAGAGCTTTTACTGGACAATCATCCTGGCATAGGCAGTTCCAAAGGGGAGAAGAAAAAAAAAAGGGAAAAAATATAGTTCTGTCTCACCTGAAAAGTTGTTGTTCTTTGTCCTTCATTTTCAAAGAGGAGTAATGACATCCAAGGGTGATGTCTTGACTCATCTGTGTGAATTGAATTTAAGTGAGGCAGACTTGCACAAAATTGTCAGCCTCTCTTCCAGAGCCATTGAAATCCAGAGCAAGACAAAAGTCAGGACAACTGGCGATGGTCTGGGAAGCAGTGGACTACTTTGGCATCTTTGATATCTGACCAAACTCTAAGTGCTCCACAATACCTGCTGCAGCTACCCTCATGGCTGTTGGAACAAATTGTTCTAATTTGCCCATTCCACCAGGGGAAGTCTCCACATACTTGGAGTAGATACCCCCCTAATTCACCGACAAGTTTGTGGCCCATCAGTTACCCTCAATCTGTTGTAGTCCATTTGGAGTGACAGCTTACTGGGTTGTAGCCACTGAGCATGCTACAGCTTCTTGGAGCTTCGAGTGTGAGTAGAGAGCCAGGTGGACACCAAAGGTAGATGAGCAGCCCTGAAACAGCCTCAACAAGCCCCTATGTCAGAGGTGCTAATCTTCCTTGAACACCCATTTACTACCTGAAAAGTAACCATAAAGAAAAAGAAAAAAGAAAAAACTGTAGGCAAAAGCCAGAAATCCTAGCCTTTTTTTTTTTTTAGCCTTATGGATGGACTGAGTTGCAAATTTCAATGATCTGAGCCATGTGGTAGGTTTTGACATAACTTTGCTGTTCTCAGTGGTTTTTCCTGATATAAGGTGGTGACAATGAACCTATGAGACAGAGCAGCACCAGAAATATAGCACAAATGATGACATGTCAAGCACAGTCAACAATTCTTCATCATGTATCAGGGTTATCTGTAGTAAAGTGGTTGTGAGGTCATAATCATATCAAATGAGATAATATTTGTAAAGACCTTAGCACAGTGCCTTGCATATAGTAGGCGCTTAACAAATGCTTATTCCCTTCCAATTACTTCCTTTCATAAGCCTCTTGTGTACAACCTGGCTCAACATCTACATTGATACCCAATACTGCCACCAACTCAGTGTTCCCTGGATCATCCATAAAAACCTCCCCCCCTCTGAGAACCCATACCAAGGGAATGATATGGACCCTTTGGCACCTTAGAGACCTATGCAGAGGGCTTCCCTCTTCCGAGGGGACTAGATGAGGACTTGATCTCACCCCTATCCAGGGACTAAGAATTACTAAGAAGTCAGTTAGGGGATCCTCTTTCTTCCAAGTTAAATACACTTCACCCATGCTATTAGAAAGCATGACACCTGCCCACAATATCTCTCCTTGGCCTCCCAGCCCCTTTTAGGAAGGACTTGTCCATGCTATCACTGAGGAAAGGAATTCTGCTTGTTGAGCAGGATCTGAACTGTTTCTCCAAGATGTACAGAGCTATCTGAAGGATTAAGGTCCTTGAGGCCAAGTCAAGTCTGTTCTGGGAAAGGAATAAGAAAGGACTAGGGAGGATCAGTTAGAACTATATATACCTAAACAGTCCATTTTTATCAGGTAAGTCATCCTGAAAACCAGATCCCAGAAACTGCTGGAATTGAAAGTACTTTCTCTTCCTAGGCTGGCATTGATCTGTCAGAGACATGACTTCTGGAACGCTGGACACCTGGCCTAGGTAGGATCTGAATAATGATATAGTTGTTGCTTAGCAGGAGCAAGCCTCTTGCCTTGATATAAGAGAGTGCAATTTTGCTAGCTGGGGACAGGTTGAGGGCCACTTGGATTAGGTAGGTACTCTGATTGGCGCAAAGAGCCCAGCTAGGTAAGAACAGATAGATTATAAATGGTACCATGTCCAGTATAATATAGCATCACCACCTCAATGTCCATGTTAGAAATGGACATGCTCCTCAACCGTTGTTTCTCCTGTAAGGTCTCTGATCTGGTCATTTAGTATATATGATGTCTGTGATGGGTGATGACATGCCCTACAAACAAATATGCAGTGGGAGGTATCAGCAAAATACATCCGTTGGTCCTGACTACAAAAGAGAGAGCCTTTGATTGTCCAGTTGTAAATGCTCCTCTGCAGGCCCCAGACCACTTGGCCAGGCCTATAGCCACTGCCCAGGAAATAAAACAGATAAAAATATTCTCTCTCCCATCCCTTAAGGCTCTTTCATATGCCAGCCATCCAGTATTTTCCAGTATTCCCATTCCCTTGGACCTAGCACCTAGGTTATCTTTTGCTACCAGATTGTTGAATGCTAAAATTGAATTTTGAATGCCTCTCTTGTAGCAGATGAAGCCAGGCAAAAGGGCATTCCTCACGACTCAATTTCTTATAGGTGGGGGCCCATTGGGCAAGTAGAGGAAGCAGGGTTCCAAGATCTAGATTGGAGACTTCAGTTAATACATCACATGTTTCTGAAGGATGCTAATTCTGGAGGAACTTACACAAGCCTGATACCATTTCCATTTTTCAGTAGAAGCTTCCTTTGTTCTATCCATCTTGTTAAAGGTACCATCTTCTATCACCCAAATGATAATAGGAAACTCTGGATAAAGAGAAATTGAATGACCCTTCAGCAGCAGCAATGAAGGCCCAGTAATAGGTGCACAAACTACTTTTCAAAAAGGTTGTAGTGAGTGGCTGCTCTGGGAAACTTGGAGTTCCAGAAGCCTCTCTCTTATTCTAGCCACATCTTGGTGCCTACCAAAGGTTCCACTGAACCTGGCTTTTATAGACTGAGGTCTTCAAAAACATGGGCTTTGTAAGATCCATGGGAAAGGCCCAAGGAAAGAGAGAGTGATGGACTATCTGCTTTAGATCATCCAAGACTGTTGCTTGTTATGGGTCCCATTTGAAAGAAACAGACTGGTAAGTGACTCTGTAAATGGAGGTCGTCAGGAAATCCACAATGGAATGTGGGTTTTTCAAAATCTAAAGAGTCCAGTAAGCCTCTAGACTTCCTTCTTAGGATACAGAGAAGCAAGTGTCAGTAGCTTATTCTGGAGCATGCCCATAATTATCTCGGTTTTCCCTACCCATTGCATTTCTCAAATCTTGACTGAATGGTCTGGATCCTGAATTTGCTTAGGGTTTATTTCCCTCTCCTTATCTGGACCACCATCTGATCTAGGGCTTCTGCTAGGATGGCCTCATCCTGACCTGGTCAATA